AAGTCCTCAGCACTCCACGGACAGGCTTTGGGCCAGGGCACCAGCACTGGGAACCAACCAGTGGGCTGGGAGCCCTTAAACTCCTTAGGGACCCAGTTCTACAACATGCAAAATGTGATTCGTGCCAACACATGTCACAGTTTTCTTTAACAATGGAGAGAGACAAATGAGCAAGTCCTTCAGAAATCAGAAATCAAAGAAAAACATTTCTGATTGCCTGTTTTTATAAAGTGTGATATTTACTCCAGAAACTGTCAAGCCAAGTGGATGTGATTGAGCACAAGTCTGCACTGCCTAGAGATATCAGGCGGTGGAAGGAGGGGAACACAGAGACCATGACACTGGCAAACAGGTCGTCTTGGTTTGTTTACTTGTATGGGTCAGAACTGGTTTCTAACTCGAGGTCCCCCTGCCCTGTGCTGGGATTACACACATGTAACGCACACTCTAACTCGAGGTCCCCCTGCCCTGTGCAGGGATTGCACACAGGTAACACACACTCTAACTCGAGATCCCCCCCTGCCCTGTGCAGGCATTACACATGTAACACACACTTCACTGCAAACTAGTTCTTAAAACACTGGCGATGCTAGAGCAAGTGGTCTCTTTCCCTGAGCTTTAATTATTTTCGATCCTTTAAAAATCAAATGTGGAGGGGGCTGGAGAGTTGGCTGGAGAGGACGTTTACAAACATCCAGAATTCCAGCTGCAGGACACCTCTTCTGGCCTGTGAAGGCACCAAGCACACAAATGATGCAGACACGCATGCGAACACCCCCACACACACTCGCACACACACAGTCCCTTTGATCTGCTCTCAGTCAAGTTTCTTAGTCTATTTCAGAAACACTAACATGGCCGGCCTTTCTGCCACTCAGAATTACAAATTCCTCTCCTTAAGACCACTCCAAATTCTATGTTCTTCTTTACTTCTGTTCTCACATTTGTTTGCCAGGGGGCTGCAGGTAGAAGGTCACTTGAGGAATCGGTTCTCTCCTTCCACAATGTGTATCTCCTGAGGGTGGGAGCGGGGGTTTATCCCACATTTTGAAGTCTTTGCCACTTAATGTATATTTGAGACACAGGACTCTGGGCCAGACGGTCCCGGCGTATTTCCTGAGATCCGGTGAACGGAGAGGGCTTCCTGGCACAGAAGCACCTGTTGCGGACAACGAACTAAATGTAAACTTGTCTTTGGGGCCAGTGTCGCTGTGATGTGACAGTTTCCTCTGATCCCAGCCAGAGTCCTTGTGCCGGTGGCAAGCTGCCATGCCAACTGCCTGGCAGCTCTGTGGCTGTGCCACTGAATGGGATGATGGAGGGCACAGGGTGATTGATACACGTGGGCAGAACGAGGAACCAGGAGGAGTTCGTCTGTGTCTACCTCTGTGGAGATTACGGGTGTTTGATAAAGACTGAAAACCATGTTCAAAGAAGAACAAGAAATGAGGGCCCTAGACCTCTCTGGAGCCTGGCCAGGTCCTGGACCTGCAAACCTAAATATAGAAACTTAAAAATAGTGACATGTGACCCACAGACATTTTGAGCAAGAGCCGCTCACAGACAGACCAGGGATACAAGCTGCTTTGTTTTTGCCAGTGTTTTCTGGGGTTTTGTTTTTCAAGCCAGTACTTACAAGCCAGAGAGTTCAAGACCAGGTATAAAAGAAGACTTTCTGTTCCCGGAAGTGTCCTGTTTTAGTGCAAAGCAGTCCCCCTGCAGTGTGGTCAAGCAAGATTCTGAAAATCACGTTAAGCTCTGACAAAAGTACTGCAGGGAAAAAAAAAACTTGAAAAGCTCTAATTGCTGGAAGAAAGTTAGTGCAAAGGATAGAACTGGTTGAGAGAGTGACAAGAGAGAATTGCTAGCGGCCCGGGGTGGGGGTGGGGGTGCAGAGCCGAAACTGGAAGCTCTGTCGGGGTGGTATCAGCTGGAACTGTTTTTTTTTCACTTTCTGTTCCTTCTCAAAATTGCCAGAAGTACATTTGGTACCAGGAAGAGAAATTCCTGTTCCTCCTTGCTGTTCTCACACTTGAGACATTTGCGGAGGGATATGAGACTCCCCCGGGGCCCTGGAAAAGTGAGGCTGCCAGCCCTGGGAGTCTCCTGCCTGGCACCGTGCTCTCGGGTGAATCATTTAACTCTTTCCTGTGCTGGTCCTCCCATGTGTGTGGCATTTAGAATACAAGGACAGAAAACCAGGTAAGATGGCCGGAGGGATGCTTTTGGTTTGGGCCGTCTGGGTGTGATGAGCAGAACTCTTCCTAGGCAAGGGCCTGGATGGCAGAGCAAATTTTCTTTTTGGCTTTGCATTTCTCCTTCCCAGTAGCCAAGAGCTACAACTTTGGGGGTGGGGGAGGGGAGGAATCATTATTTTCCAAGTTTAAATTTGCTGCTTGTTCATATTCTCCAGGAACTCCATAATCAGCTATTTTTACACTGATTTTTGTTATTTTTAGCTGTTAAAATCATTAGATTGACAAAGCACAGCCCTCCCCTCCCCCACAGCGGTCCAGGCTCCAAACAAACCAGGCCTTTTCTCTTGAACTTCATCTTCTGTTTATGCATGGCCTACTTTCAGCCTGCATGTCCCCCTTCAGCCCGTGGTCATTTGTCAAGCTCCGGCTAATCGCCTTAATCCACTGGACTGAAGGATTTAAGTTTAATGTTTTAATCTAGGGGCCTTAGTATTTAAGTAATTAGAAGTCATATTCCTAGCTCTCTCCTTTAGACAAATTACCTCAGTTTGCTCTTTAATTCTAATTTATAAATAACAGTTCTAAGAGTTCACAGTGGGCATAGTTTGGAGTTTAGGATTGAAAGCATGAATTAAGAAAAGAGGAATCTGTGATACCTATGCTTCCTGCACTCATTCTTAAGAGTCTCAAGCCTGTGGGCTTTCCTTAGAGTTCACTTTTATTTTTTATTACCGTAATTATCCATATGTATAGGATGCAGTGTGGTAGTTCAGAACCGGCGGTATCTATCAGTATTAGCCCTTCCATTTCCTTAAATATTTAAAAAGCTGGTTAACGTGTAGCAGCTGCATATCTGTGAACAGCTGACACTTCAATACACGTTTACAATGCACACTAGTCAAAATGGTACTTCATTTGTTATTTCGTATTTGGAGGTTGTGATTAGAATCAGCATCATTTAACATACTACCTAAAACAGACATTTACTGTTGTATTTTAGAAGAATTTTGTCTGTTGTTTTCCAGAATCCTGTTGTATACTTAGAATTCCGTAAGCCATTTCCAACATTTTTTCATGCCTGAGAACTTGTGAGCTTTGGAAAGAATTATTTTCCTATCAGTTAATCTGGACATTCTTAACAAAATGTTTCTAATGTCTTTCACGTCTGGCGGGTCACCGAGTCGCTGAGGGACTCTGGCTTTACCATCCGCATCTCAGCTTCTCAGTTGGCAACACCGAAAACCCAAACGGGGAAAGTGAACGGATGACAGCCTGGGTACCGAATCCAGACCCATGTGCGGTCTCTTCCAGAATTCCCATCACTAGGTCAGAAAGCTCACAGTTCCTCCCGGGAAAGGCGAGCACCATCAGACCAGGCCCTGCACGCTGTATTTCTAAGCTGAATATTGAAGCACTTTAGGTATTAGTGAAAGTAATTTTGGGGCTAGAGGTTTTAGGAGAAAAAAAAGATTAAAGGTAAGATGGAGTGAGAAGTGGGGTGGTGGCTAGCCTTAGCTCCAGGAGACTGGAGAAAAGTCCAGCAGTGTGGAGCAGCCTGGGAGACGAGCGTGCAGGGCCAAACCCCACGGCTGAAATTCATTATTCACTTACGGAGGAATTCACAAAAGAACAATATTCACTAATAAAATAGGCTTGTACTGGATAATGTCTTGAATCTCTGTGAAAGCCTGAACAAGACTTTAGCCATACTGTGCCAGTTTACTCAGAAGTTCGTGTGAGCTCTTTGTACATGCAGATGCTGCATCTACATGATGGGGAGGGGAGACTGGCTAGGCTGAGAGCGGAACTCAGCCTGAAGGGAAAGGTAGGGGGCTGAGGTGCCTGCTGCCAAGAGGGACAGTGGATCCCAGATACACGTGGTGGAGAGAACCAACTCTGGCAGGTCACCACCCTGCACTTGTCACCAAACCCAAATGCTCAGTCCCCAAAACATACATGGTGGAGGCAAGGGTCCAAATATCACAAGTGTGCAGGCAAACACACTCACAAACGCAACATACTCACCATAGTAACACACTCACACACTCCAATGCAACACACTCACACTTAACACACTCACACACGCGAGCCGGGCGATGGTGGCGCACGCCTTTAATCCCAGCACTCGGGAGGCAGAGGCAGGCGGATCTCTGTGAGTTCGAGGCCAGCCTGGTCTACAAGAGCTAGTTCCAGGACAGGCTCCAAAGCCACAGAGAAACCCTGTCTTGAAAAACCAAAAACAAAAACAAAAAAAAAAAAAAAAAAAAAAAACTCAATAAATAAAGGTAGTTAATTTTTAAAGGCATGAAGCTTTTTTTTAAAAAAAAAACCTTCACCATCTGACTACTTTGATTTTACTTGCCTTAGCAAACACTGGGAGGACCCAAGAAGTTTTAATACGTGCACTTTTGTTTGTGTTTTCTTTCAAACTGGTAAGGACCCAACAGGACAGAAAGGACAGTTCCAAACTATCTGGAATCAGAAACGCCATGCATCTGGGTCGTGGGACACACGGGTACCCTCACATCCGACTCATGGGCTCCATGCTTTACCATGTGACTCAGGCTGAACAGGGGTCCTGCTGAAGCCCTGAGGGAGGAGCTGAGGTAGGAGGCTCTCGGGTCCTTCAAAACAAGAAAGTTTGAATTCCGGTATCTACTATCAATCTGTGAGATTTGAGTTCTTTGTGGACTGATAAACTCCGAAGCCAAAAGAATGCCCCATGTACCCCACCCAAGAGCCCCCAAAGACCTGAACCTCAAGACTCCTCTGACTGGAAACATTCCAAGGAATGGCACTCACCTCGGACTGCGAAGGCATCCTCAGTCTGGTGAGCTTGGCCTTGGCAGGCACCTTTGCATCCGGCTTTTCAAAGCTCTGCTGTCCATAGTCTCCCAGCGGTGGCTTCAGCTCCGGGGACTCACTAGGAGCCTGATCCTGACCGTCCATGGGCCGGACATATGCCGTGGGCTTCTGCTGCATCACTACACTTTTGGAGGGGAGGGGAGGGGGTGGGAACGTCTGAGAAGGGGCTACCCCGAGGCTGGTGACTGCCACCAAACTGTCAAGAGGAGTCTCGTTATCCTGACCCTTCACCACCAGGTCCTTGGAAGACACAGCTGCACAGTAGCTTTTACTGCTGGTGCCGCTGCTGCTGGGAACCTTGCTGGGTCCTTGCAGTCTGGAATGTACAGGTGACAAAGGGGGCACAGGGGACGGCAACGAGGAGATTAAGGGTGAGAGCTTCATCTCCGGAGCTGAGTCACCATCAGCTCTGCGGTCATACTTTCTGTGGCTGGAACAGTGCCCTTCCTGACTGAGGCGATCTTGAGTCAGACGCTGGCTGTCGGGCGGGCCATAGCTTTTGGCGTGGAGACTTGGCACTGGTTCCATCCTTGGCGGCGCCATCTTTGGACTGTGGCTAATGTTACCCACAGAAAGTGATCCAGGGGCAGAAGTAGGAATAGGCTGGTGGTAGACATGTGTGCGGAAGGAGTGGGAGGCAAGGCTGTTCCCCCTGTCGTGAAGCGAAGGGTATCTCAGCTTCCCTGGCCTGTCTTCCGCACCCTCCAGCCGCTGAGGGCACGACTTGGCGCTCAGAAACTCCTTCATCTCCTCGTAGTCGCCTAGCATGTTCTGTATGCGACTCGACAACTCATCACCTTTAGCCGTCTACAAACAGAAAGACAGCGGGCTCAGACTGCGGAAACAAATCCACGCGGAGCAACCACTTAATAAACTATTCTGCAATCGCAGGAAGAAGAAGCCCTCTCGACTTAACATGTAACGCCATGTTAACGATGTCCCCCGCTGAGCAGCCTGACTCGGACACACATTACTAATTACAGGAGACTAACGTTACAAAAGAAAACCACACACTTTGGTAATTCTGACTAACCATGTTCAAAGAGTTCAGATTTTGTTTTCAAAAACAACCTCTGGGATAAGTTATTTTCTTAGTTATGACCCCCGATTGAACTCAGTGGTGCTGAATAGCTTTATCTTCGAGTTTTATGTTATGATAGGCCAGCCTTTCTCCCTCTCACACCCAGTGAATACCTTGTAGGGCTCTCCAAACAGCGGCGTCTTCTCAGTAAACACCTCTTTCTCTTGGTGAGTTTCTTGATTGCGTCTCTCCTTCTCTCGAATCCGAAGCAGGTTTCTATCTTCATTGTACAAGCTTTTCCAAATGCCACAAAAGAACAACAACAACAAAAACTATCAGTATCTGAGTCTCGTTGAGCACACATGGGTGTGGCGGGAGGAAGAAGAATAGGTCCACAAAGATGTGGTAGCAGGGGGTCACTAAAGAAGGCACACTGGGATTGCAAAGATGATCTGGCAGTTAGGAGTGCACACTGCTCTTGCACAGGACCCGAGTTCCGTTCCTGGGACCTACATCTAGCGGTTCAGACATAGCTCACAGCTGCCTGTGAGTCCATCTCCAACACCTCTTCTGGGCTCTGTGAACACCTGTGGGTGCGCACGCAGCTTTCGCACTCCACAAACATGCTGGCACACACTTCAAAATCAAAAAGGGGACTGGAGCGATGGCTCCAAGGTTAAGAGCACTGGCTGCTCTTCTAGAGGTCCCGAGTTCAATTCCCAGCAACTATATGGTGGCTCACAGCCATCTATAATGAGATCTGGTGCCCCCCTCCTGTCTGGCAGGCATACATACGGGCAGAACACTGTATACATAATAAATAAATCTTCTTAAAATTAAAAATAAATACAAGGAGGGAGAGGAAAGGGGATATAAGAGGGGAAGAACACAAGTCCGAAGGGGCCAGTGGCTCACACCAGTAATCCCACTGCTGAGGAGGTAGAAACAGGGGGATTGCCAAAAGTTCAAGGCCATCCTTGTCTATAGAGAAAATTCAATAAAAGATTTTTGGTCTACTCTGGGGGTATCTTAGCATATAAATTCAGAAAGATGATTTGTGCTCATTTCAAATGGCAGGATGAAGAATCCAACTATAGACGTCAGTTCTCATACTAAGGATGTCACACAGTCCAATTCATACCACATAAAAATATATCCTGCAGCTTCGGATGTGTTATCAACCTGGTTAAAATGAACTCACTGACAGGCAAACCGGAGACGGATTCTTTCTGAAAGCTCCACATGACCCAAACAGGTCTGCCCACTGCCTGCCTTCTCCGGACCTCCCTTTGTGATCTACATTGAATAATGGGGAATAAGAGAAATTATAAAAAGACTTTGTCTTCTTGACCTGCTTCAGGGGTTCTGCTAAGACTTCCCTATCTGAACTATCTGAGCAAAAGAAAACACTTGATTGCCTTGGCTGTGTCTATCTGCCTTCCCTGATGCTAGCTGACGTCAAATGCCCTCTCCAATGCTCTCCCATGCTTCCAATCTTGTGATGAGAGCCTCCTGGTCTCCATGTCTCCCCATCTTAATCTTCTAACTCAGCCTTCCTTTATCGACTGGGTTTACAGTCCTGATTCTTACGTAACTCTCCGTATCTAAAATGACAATCATTGATGGCTCCTTAGACTACAGAGTGGCCACCAAATCTTTGCTTTGGCATTAGAATTCCCTGACAATGCCCCGCAGGTCTGTTGCAAGCATTTGGCCATTCCCCACTGCCCAAGAACACCTAGTAGGTAAGAGTCAGTCCCTCCTGCTAACCCGCACTCAGACCCCCTCTACTGAAAAATAAAATTCTTCCAGGACTGGCCTTCGTGCTGCCCTACAGGGCCACCCTACAAATCACCCCAAACTCTGTCACACCAGGCCACGGCCTAGGAGTGGGTCTGCTTCCATGCCAGCCACAAACCTCTGCCCTCTCTCCCTCTACCTCCTCGGCACCCCCCGACCTTAACCACATAACTGCACCCTGACTTTCGATTTTCGACAGATTCAGATGAATTCAAATGTCACCCACTATAAAGACGTCCCTCAAGTCCACTAACTATGTGCCTGCCCAACGTGTCAGCTGGCCATTGCTTCTAGAACAGTGTTCCATTAGAGCAGAACATCACTGTCACTTTCTCCTGGTACTTAAATGTGTACTGCATGGGCGCCAATCAAATATTTTATATTAAAGCACAGCCATTAATACATGCAATAGTATGTATGTATTCAGGTTTTTCAGGGCAGGGTTTCTCTGTATAGCCCAGGTTGTCCCAGAACTAATTCTGTAGCCAGTCTGGCCTCGAACTCAGAGTTATGCCTGCCTCTGCCTCCTCTGACACCAACACCCAGACCAGTATTTTCTCTTTTTTTACTTCTTTGGCAAAATTTTTCTTATATTTAACACTAAAAAAATATATACAAAAACAAATAGAGCAAATAAGTCAATCTAAACTACAGTGTCCCCACCTCTGCTTCCCCAGGGCTGAGATTTAAGGCACAAGCCTAGCTAGAACCATGCATTATAAAGCAACACCAAAGATTTTGAATTTAACTCGCTGCCACTGTTCAGCTGAAAATCTCCAAGTAGTGAGTAGAAGGCAGTCATGACTGTCTGCTGGGTGGGTCTGAGTCCAGACTGGGAGACTCACCCACACTGTCTGTGGTCTCTTTCCCCAAGGTTCCCGGACAAGGCAGAGGGCAAAAGAACCAGTTCACAGAGGGAAGGTCGGTGACCCGTTCTAGGCTGGCTTTTTTCTTTATGCAGCTAACAGCATTGCGAGCTTCTGGTTCGCTTCGGAATTAACTTGTTACACATCTGCAGTAGCTCAAAGGTTGTTTCTGGAAGGGTCCTGGGCAATCTATTTTATCCAGAAATATTTTTTCCGTGTCCCTCTGACATTAGGGGCAAGGAAAATTTCAAAAGTAAGCAGTGCCATCATCCAGACCACGAGTGGAACCTTTGCAGACTATTTCAAACTAAGTACAGGGCAAGGCAGGGGAAAGGGAAGAATTGCTGTGTGTGCATACATATGTGTACAGTGTACGGGCCAGACAAGTTTCAGTTTCCACGAATTAAACAAACTCGAGCTTTCGCTGGCAGTACAGCCATTGGGCACTATCCTTTGTTACTGTTACTACATCACCGGCATGTCTGTGTTCATGCACACACACATGATGTGGCTGTCACATACTGACTAATGGCTTTACTTCTCGCCTTCCATTGTTATGGACTTCAACTCTGGGTTCCAGACTTACACACAATTGACTTCACCTGCTGAGCCATCTCACCGGCCTGGGGGTGGGTGGAGGGAGGGAGGGAGGGAGGGAAGGAGGGAGGGAAGGAGGGAGGGAGGGAGGGAAGGAGGGAGGGAAGGAGGGAGAGGGAGAGAGGGAGGGAGAGAGAGAGAGAGAACACGTGTGCACAGGGTTTCTCTGTGTGTAGCCCTGGCTGTCCTGGACCTAGTTCTATAGATCAGCTGGCCTTGAGCTCACAGAGAACCACCTGCTCTTGTCTCCTGAGTGCTGGGATTAAAGACCTGGGCCACTGCTGTCCTGCACAGCCTGGCAGCATCTTTAAGTGAGGGGATTTTTTTGAGGCGGCAGTGAAGGTCTTCATGATTCTCACTCTGTAATTATCTTTGAATAATTACAAGTTAACTATGGCTTTAATTAAAGGCAACCACCTCCCCCAGGAGAAGCAACACGGTTTTCACTCTCTTGCGTACTCAAGGAACATCATACTGATACCCAAACACCGTAACTCAAGAGACCCTTGCGGATGGCCACAGCACTCAGCATTAACTAATCCTCCCGAGTGAGCTCAGGAGGTAAAGGCTTTTACAGGAGCAGAATGCAAAGGCCCGCAATTTCCAGTCTCCAGGTTAGCACAAAGAAGGGTCTGGAAGCTGTTCAGAGAGAAGAGTGATCCTGAGGGGTGCCAAGACCAGCAGTGCTCAGGACAAGAGCCTCGGCGGGGACCCCCCACACACACACACACACACACTGGGCCTCAGCATTGTCCTGGTCCAAGAGGAAAAAAATAAGGCTTAAAGACTGACTTTGTCATGACGCTCTGGAAATCCAAAATCCTAGCCAAAGCTTATGTTCTCAGTCACAGATCTGCCAGCAAACCTGCCTGGCTGTGTTGAGTGGGTTGGTGACGTCTAGGAAGGTGTGCTAACTTATAATCACCTTAATTCCTTAGTTTCAAGGAGGTGCACGTCAGACCAGGCATTATCCCTGCTAAGAGAACAGCCTCAAAACCGCAAAATAAATGGCCGGTTCAACCAAGCACACAAAGACCTTACAGGAAGTGTCAGGGACGGACAAGGTATAGGTGCTCTTCAACTTCTAGAAACTGAGCTACAATTCTTCTTTAGATCCTTTGGTTTAATTTCACAAACTCAAGGTCACTGATCCCATAATAACCTAGGAACCTCTGGACTTATGCTCCTCATACACTAAGAGACTCACGTGGATCTACTTCATGGGCAGGCAATGTAAATAACTGTGCACCTAAGTTCCCATAATGTGCCCAACAGGGAGTTTCCACAACTCCTCTGGCTGGTCAGCCAAGTAATGTTCATAGGGCACTCACTCCAACCCAGTAATCCTCATCTAGGGAGAAAAAACTTGAAGCCTAACTGACTGCAGATAAAACAAGCCATGTTGTCTACAACTCCACCTGCAAACCCGGGAGTTCTGCAGAAGAAATCATCCTTGGACAGGGACGATAAGATACTCTCTGCAGCATGGAGGTTCAACAGGACACAGTGGAAAGACTTCTGCAAGAAAGCCGCCTCCTGGCCGGGCAGTGGTGTTTAATCCCAGCACTCTGGAGGCAGAGGCAGATGGATCTCTGTGAGTTCGAGGCCAGCCTGGTCTACAATAACTAGTTCCAGGACAGGAACCAAAAACTACGGAGAAACCCTGTCTCGGAAAAAAGAAAAAAAAAGAAAGCCGCCTCCTCCAGGCTGCAGGCCTCGGGCTGCCAGTACTCTGGGAGAGAGTTCACGTGTGAAGAACTTCCACTGCCAGGTCTCAAGCCGGTTGAGGCGCACTGCAACTCACACGTTCTTGCTGACAGAACTCCCCACTCCGAATAAAGATTTGGAAACCTAAGCCGTGCCAGGGTGTGCTCACTTTGAGAGAGGTGTGAAAACCAACTCGGCCTCCGGTACAGCGGTTAAGTCAACCCCAAGCTGTGCTTGTCATGGTACATTTACTCAGAGGCTTCTCCTGGGGGGATGGACTGTGGGGCAGAGGTGTTAAAGTACTGAGAAAATGAAAGTCCTTCC